TAAACTATCAGAAGCTTTAACAGGAGACTGGAATAGCAGTTATAAAAGCAAGAGTCCACTGTGTCTGAGAGGGTCAGAAAAACAAAGGGAGAACTCAATAAGCTGAGTCTTAAAGGCACAGCATGTATGCACATGAAGATGATATCATGAGCAGCGTTATCCCTTTAAATCTTCATGACTAGAGAAGGCCAATTCTCTGAAAAGGCAACACTGAAAGTACCTCTTAAATAATCCAAGATGGTTAAAAATTCAAATTTCATAATCCCCTTCTTCATTATAAAGGGGGGGAGGGAGGAGGAGAGAAAGAAAGAAACCACTACAATAATCTTCAAGCAAAACAAACAAACATAGAATCACCAAAAAATAAAGTACTGTTGATTTAAAAAAAAAAAGAATCTAAAGGAATTCTGGTGCGTGCATAAAAATATTCTTTTCAATTGATTCTGATATTGTCACCTACCTCCGCCCTCATCCTGAGAATCCCTAGGCAGAAAAGAAAAGGCACTGCCATGAAGAAGTAGGAATGCTAGTTCTCAATGTACTGTGACCGCAAAAGAGGTGGGAACTGTGGCAATGTCACTGCTGAGGGATCCCAATGCCTGGAGCATGTTGTGACATAAGGTTCCATTGGCAGAAGAAACTCCCAGGCCCTAGAACTTCTACAGCTTCCAGAGACCCCAGCCCCTTGGACTAGAAGGAGAGATGGGCACTCCTCCCTTTCATGAGATGACTTCTCACACTGACGGTGGTTACTTTACCTGAGAGCAATTTGCCAAAACAAAAGTAGGAGCAGGTGTGGAGCTAATTGGACACCCTGACTTTGAAAGAGGCTAGATGAAGACACAGCGACACAGAGACACACAGGGAGAAGAAGGCCATGTGAAGCTAGAGGCAGAGATTTGAGGGCTGCATTTACAGGCCAAGGAACACCAAGGATGACCGCAGTCACCAAAAGCCAGGAAAGCCAGGAAGGATTCCTCCCTGGAGCCTTCAGGGGCAGCATGGCGTCGGCGATGACCCCTGGATTGTGGACTTCTAGCCACCACAACTGTGAGAGAATACATTTTTGTTACTGTTTTTAAAAACAATAACAACAACAACAACAACACTAAACCTACTTGTGTTTTCATTGCTAAAAAGCACATCATCTAAAAGGAAAGGAAGGAGAGCATAATGGGTCTTATTTTAGTACTAAAACTAAGTATTTGAGCAGTTTGCTTAGAGAAACCAAATGGCTCATTTAGAGCACCATTAAATATATCAGAGTCACTAAAATAAAAATCCAATAAAAATCAGACAGGAAGAAATCAAGTTAAAATGTACAACTATAAAACTTCAACATTTTAACCCTTTTTGGTCCAACATGGAGGCTGACCCGACAGACCAGGCGCTAGGAGCAGGTCCAACGTCGAGGCTGAGGTCGACACCGCAAACCGGTTCAACATTCAATCCCATCAATTAATTTGGACCAGACTGTTTGAATTCCAAAAATAAAATTGGACCGCAAAGGGTTAATGTATGCCATAATCTTAGTTATCTTAATATCATTTTCCCACACCTAAAAAATAAGAATCATAAGCATCATCTGGAATATATTAAAAGTAATGATTAATTTTCTAGTGTTAAAGTGCCTCTAAGCTGTTTTCCTACTCTGCTCCTTTATACTTAACGTTCAGTTTTATCAACCTTATATTCTACTTTCTTTTCAAAAACAGCATAGCACTAAGATATTTCTCGGATGTATTTCCTCAAGTTTCAGCACTGTTGCTCCTTTCTTTACATTTCTGCAAAGTCCTTCCAGGAACCAGAGGCTGGTATAGGCCTTTGTGAGCATCAAAGTAACATGAGGAAATCTGGCTGAATAATGAAGTGAAGCTCTAAGTCCAGGATTATGTAACATCCCGAAATCCAAAAAGCAATGTGGTCCATTGATCTCTGCTAAAACTACTTTTTTCAGATTTCACTTTAAAATGTCTAAGTTACAAGAACACACAACATCCTGTCAGTTAAGTAAAAGTCCATTGAGCAGTTCAAATATTTCTCTGGTTGTTTTGATACCCAAAAGACCTCTATCTCCCAAATCACTACATGTTGGGTATTCAGAAAACCTTAAGATTTTTCAACTTCATGTTTCTCTCCTATTCCTAACAATGCATACAACATATTCTAGGCCAGCCATGGGCAAACTACGGCCCGCGGGCCGGATCCAGCCCGTTTGAAATGAATAAAACTAAAAACAAAAAAGACCGTACCCTTTTATGTAATGATGTTTACTTTGAATTTATATTAGTTCACACAAACACTCCATCCATGCTTTTGTTCCGGCCCTCCGGTCCAGTTTAAGAACCCATTGTGGCCCTCGAGTCAAAAAGTTTGCCCACCCCTGTTCTAGGCAGATCTTAGATCTGTCTTTTAACAAAAAGTTGCATATGATTCCTGTGAGGTGTGTTCCAACTTTATTTTAGTGTACTCAGACTTTAAAGCAATTTTCTTAGGAATATTTTCTATGTAAGGAAAGAGATAACTACCAACCATCATTTATAAAATTTCTTGGAAATATAGATAATTACATTAACTTTTATTCAAACACTTTTTCCAATTAAAAAAATATTCTGTATCATATGTTCTTCTTAATAAACACACTTGCTGACAGAAGCACAAAACAGGCAGAAAGAAAGCTATGTGCGTCCCTTTCTCACACTTTCAGTTTCTATATACTAATTTCTTAAAATATCACTTCTTCTTAGAGATGACAGAACTGTGGGCCATCACCGCTTTACAGAGTCCCTCCAAATAACATCTTCTGGGTCTGTTTCCAAAGGGGCACCTGAAAAGCTATGAAGGCCTTCATCCCCTGTCACTTTCATTTGCAAAGAAGCTCAGTGTAAAAAGGCTAATTCTGGGATCCGTCAGTAGGCCTGAATCTGTCAGTAGGCTGCAGTCCTTAGTGTCTCAGGGAACACCTGAGTCTTGGCTACTAGCCAGGCACTCATCCCTTTGTTAACATCCCTCTTTCTGAGGGCTGCCATCCCTGAGCACTCAGACAAGGCTGTGAACTGGAGGCAGCTCGACCATTGAGAGTGATGCTAAAACACAGCCTTGGTCACTGAAAGCTCCCGACGGAGCAGCAAAGCCACGTCAGCTACAGAGCCTCTTATTGTTCCCAGTATGGTCCTTGGTGGTTATACAGAAGGAAATGAGTTGTCCTTTTGACAATCAGTTCCTCCTCCTTTCTTAAACTTCAGAAAACAAACAAACATGACAAATATGGGAGGGGGTGAAGTGTAAAGGGATGGCCTTGGCTGGGGGAGTTCATGTTAGGTATCTGCCGCAAAGGAAAAAGCAAACTCTGCTGGCCTTTTCACTTTCTGTCTGTATATTTCCCAGCTGGCACAGTATCAAAACCAAATACATTCGAATTTATGAGGAAACAAACGAAGAAGCAGAAGAGGCCAGCTCAAGGGAAAGAGCAATTTCTTACAGCTTAAACACTATGAGAAATCAAGTATACAGTATCAACAATTATAACAAAGCATATTTAGTAACATACACAAATATGCATGAATTCACACAAAGGAAATAGAGTAACAGGGCTTTCTTCTGGTCTAGAGTTTAACTTTCATTTTACAATTTTATATGCAGAAATGAGAGCTTCTTAGTGAAATGAATAGGTATGTTCTTATGTGAACATGCAATATTCATAAATATCAAATGCTTTCATTAGATTTAAGATTTTCTTCTTAAATTTAAATTTTCCCACTATAGCCCTAAGATCTAATTTCCATGCCATGACAGTTCATGTCTGCATTTTAAGCTTGTGCAGAATCCACCACCTGATTTAGCAGTCAGGCTGCACACGCTGTAGCTTCGTTCTCGGGCACCTTTGAAGACAGAGTGATATTTAACACGGAATATAAGCGGGCTTTTCATCTCCCACTGTGCAGTAATTGTTTCCCACTTCAGAACTATAACATGAGCCATCATCTCTGACTTGCTCTCTAAATGCTATGGCCAGCATGAAAAAAAATGACAAAGGACATTATGGTCTTACTCAAGGGAGTCAGATCTTTGCTGACTGCCAAGGAGAAATCATGGCCAGTCAGGCACAGCACAAAGGGAGCATGAGAAATGACATACGTTACTGGGCCTGCTGCTAGGAAATCATTTCTCCTAAATGTCCTTGGAATGCAGAAGCTGAGCCTTTCTCGGTGTCTAACACACCAGATAAAAATTACTGCTGCACATGACTGGCGTTTACTATTGTACATATATACTTGCTGGAAATTGTTTACAGAATATACAGTGAAGGTGGGAGATACAGAGAGAGCTTTCCCCTAGATTCTAGGAGTTGAATTGAAGTAACCAATGCTTTCAGTTATTATCATATTGGGTTCATGTAAGCTGTCTAGCAAGTCTAAAGATGATATAGTTTAAAATCCTATCAGGCCTGGCCCACAGAGTCAACCATCTGCTATATTAAACAGGCGCAATATATAATGAAAAAAAAAATGCTGTGAAGTAGCAGGGCAAAGGCCAATCAACAAATTATCTTGGGCATTTTCGTCCCACATCAGAGGAAACAAATTAATATGAGAAAGTGAGCCCTAGCCAGTTTGGCTCAGTGGATAGAGCATCGGCCTGCGAACTGAAAGGTCCCAGGTTCGATTCTGGTCAAGGGCATATGCCCGGGTTGTGGGCTCGATCCCCAGAAGGGGGCGTGCAGGAGGCTGCCGACCCATGATTCTCTCTCAACATGGATGTTTCTATCTCTCTCTCCTGTGAAGTAGCAGGGCAAAGGCCAATCAACAAATTATCTTGGGCATTTTCGTCCCACATCAGAGGAAACAAATTAATATGAGAAAGTGACACAGGCTACACAGACTTCAATCCAATTTGACTGTCATGATGTATAAATAAACATAAAAGGCAGATGGAAAAGAAGAGTATTTAAATTCCATTCAGTGTTACAAACACTTTCTCATTAAAATATAAACCCTTACCTTTGCTTGCCTCTTATTGGCCTCTCTTCTGGCTTCCCTTTCTTTCAATCTTTTCTCCTACAAGAAGAGGGGGAAAATGAGTGATATACTTCCAACTATTAGGTGTAAATCAGACTGCACATTCATAACAGTTTTTATTAAATCAAATGATTACTGAATAAATATTTATGAGATTGGCATACATATTCATAATCATTAAGTATGTGTCCAACAGAACTAGAATCAAATCCCATTTCTACCACTTACTATGCAATTTTGAGCATCTTATTTATATTCTCTAACTCTCATTCTCTCATCTAAACATGGAAACAGAAGCACATATTTCATAAAACTGGTATAAGAATTATATAAAATAACATACATAAGTATTTAGCACAATTAGGGATATATGACTGGTACACAATCAATGTTAGCTATTAGAATAAAAAGAAGGAAAAATGCAATATTGACTATTTCGCTTTTCCTTTATCTAAACAGAATTTATAAGGATATGAATCCTCATCTCTGGAGTTCTTAGAAAAGTGGTAATATTTCCCCAAACAAAAAACAATAAAAGATTGTTCTCATAAAGCATGTTATTTCATTGAATTGCACTGTAATTTCCTCATTAGTTTTTCAATGATCATAAACTTGTCAGAAAATGCAACACTAACTTTTTTTAAATAAGAAAAAATAAATATGCACAATATTAAAATCCATAGCAACAAACTGACCCATCTAAAGTTGAAAAGAATTTTGTTTTAAATAAAAACCTCTTTTCCTCTTCAAGAATAAAGTGTTAACATAATAAAGACTATTTTCAATCCGAAGTGCATAGCTAACAATTTATATATTTTTTAAAATTTTCTTTTCATGAAGTAATATGAAACTGCAAGCATGATTCACTATTATATTAAACAGCTGTTAACATGAGAATTAACAAGTTTTCCTAATCTGAATACACCATCATATCTGCTTTACTATTCATGGCTTTCTCCAGATTCAAAAGCCAATTCTAACACACATTCTGAACAGACTTGAGGTTGCTCTGCTGCTTACAGCATTGATAAGGACAGACAATTGCTACTAACCACCTTATCTAGGTTTATAGACTCCTTTACGACAAAGTGAGAACATAAATGTTGAAAGTCTCAAAGAAGAGGGGATAAAGTGAGAACATAAATGTTGAAAGTCTCAAAGAAGAGGGGAGTTCACAGAGCATAGAGATTAACTTTCTATAGTTTCAGACTGCACAGCAGAAAATCTAAATTCTAAGCGAAACTAACAAGAATTCAAATTCAAACGGCAACAGTGAATGTGTCACACCCCAAATGCATAATGTTAAATTATGACTTTCTGTGATTATTATTCTTTCTCTACCCCAGTTTTGGAGAAAATGGGTGTTACTTTGACTTCCAAATAAAACATACAACTAAAAGGGTAGGTAAAACTTAAAACAATGTGCAATTATTTATACAGAGGAACATTCTAAAGATTACTTGAAAGTTCCAGGACCAAGGTCAGAGGAAAAGGAAAGATGAAGAAACAAAAACCCAGATTCTGACTTTTTCAAAGAGCTTACTTAGAAAGTGACAGACTGATCTCAAATCTGGATCTTTGTATGCCAAGTCTAGTGTTTTTTTCTAGAAATTCTAGTAAATATTAAAAAGTTGGGGCTTAAAAACTTTAACAGATGTGACTTTAATAATAAAAGAAAATAAGATCTAGAATTATTTGAAGAAACAGCCAATTAGTGCAATCCTATATAATAAAGAGGTGATATGCAAATTAACCCTCATGCCCTCACAAGATGGCTGCCTATGACCAGGCTGGCAGAAGAGTTAGTAAAGGATGACCAAACAACTGAACAAGCAGGCTGCATGGGGCGACCAGGCCGGCAGGGGGGTTAGTGAGGGACAAACAAATGACTGAATAAGCAGGCTGCATGGGACAACCAGGCCAGCTGGGGGGGGGGGGGGGGGGGGGGGGGCCCAAAACTAGTCTATACTAATGAAAGGGTAATATGCTAATTAGATCAGACATCCTTCCAGACAAAGCCATGGTGGCGGGGCCAAGGCAGAGGCAGTTAGGGGTGATCAGGCCAACAGGGGAGAGCAGTTAGGGCATTCAGACCGGCAGAGGAGAGCAGTTAGGGGGATCAGGCTGGCAGGCAGGCGAGCAGTTACAAGCCAGCGGTCCTGGATTTCAAAAGGGGTCCCGGATTAGAGAGGGTGCAGGCTGGGTTGAGGGGACTCCCCCCCCCCCATGCACGAATTTTGTGCACCAGGCCTCTAGTAGTTATTATAATACTCTATCCCTGAACTGGTTCTTTAAAGAGCTTATGAGCATTGTTCTGCCACTAAAGTAAAACCGTCTCAATCTTTCCTCAATTTATAGAAGAAAAAAAGGTAATGGATGGCAGTTTCTAAACATTTGCACCCAAATTTTCCATTAAAATTGGTATCAATTACTGATTTTCTATAAACATTAACAGACAAAAAAAAGGAAGTAGCAAAATACTAAAAAGAATTAAAAATAATTGATCATAATTATGCTTAGTTTGAGAGATGGCTTTAGTTTGTGGATGCATGTATTTGTAATTTTATCTCTTCTCTTTCACATACACACAATTTTATTCTATCTTCTACCAAAAAAATAATAATAATTCTTATGTCTTAGGAGATAAAATTAAGCAGAGCAGTGTTCTATGTTCTTCTACAAAGACCACAATGACTTTCAAGTGTTGCGCTGCTTAAACTAATTTTAAAACTATAGCAATAAAAAAACATCAAATAACTGGAAATAATAAGTTGTACTTTTAGAATACTAGGGGCCCAGTGCACGAATTTGTGCACCTTGAAAGGAACTATGGGCTGCGAGGCTGTGGTAGGCACAGGGGTAGGTCTCGGCCCATCCTCCATGCCCTCGCCTGGCCCCTCCTGCTGTGGCCTCTGGTCCCCTGTCTGCTGGCAGCCCCACTCCCACTGCTGCCACTCCCACATGCTAACGGCGCTGGCCCTGGCTCGCACCTGCTGACAGCACGGAGCGATTGGGGCTGGCATCAGCAGTGGGTGTGAGCGGGGTCAGCACTGGTAGTGGGTGCAAGCAGCAGCTCCGGTGCTGGCAGCGGGTGCAAGCGGGGCCAGCACTGGCAGCAGGTGTGAATGCCGGGTGGGACTGCGGTGCGGGGAAGCAAAGAATTTTCAGTAACCACCAGAGGCTCGCCACAATGACAGTGACTGGCGCCTCGCCTTGGTCTGGCGTCCCTGCTCACCTGCTCAACCATCCTGCCATGGCCAACACCTGCCATGTTCTGCACATGCCCCCTGGTGGTCAGCACATGTCACAGCAACTGGTTGTTTGGTTGCTCCAGTTGTTATGCTGTTCATTCTGTTTGCATATTGGCCTTTTATTATATAGGATATCTGCCCATTAGCACATTATTACTACTGTTATTTTCTTACTAACAGTAATAGCCCTGAATTATTAAGTATCACCAGTGTGCTAGGCCTTTTACATATATTTTTAAATCTGTCAACAAAACTTTGAGCATTGGTCGGTGTGTTCAATGGTTAGAGCATTGGCCCTGGCAGCAAAGGGTCTCGGGTTCAATTTCTGGTCAAGAGCACATACCTGGGTTACAGATTCAATCTCCAGCCCTAGTCAGGGTGCATGTGGGAGGCAACCAATCAATCTGTATCTCTTACATTGATGTGTCTCTCTAACACATATTCTTTCTTTCCTTCTTTCTCTCTTTGTTTCTGCCTGTCTCTCTCTCTCCACCACCCCTCCCTTCCACTCGCTCTAAAAACAAATCAATGGAGCCTGGTCAATGTGGCTCAGTGATTGAGCATCAACCTATGAACCAGTAGGTCACAGTTCCATTCCTGGTCAGCACATGTTAGGGTTGCAGAGAGCCACATGTGGCTCACGAGCCGCAGTTTACCGACCACTGATCTAGCCAATTTAATCACAGCACACAAAAATTATATTGACAATTTTTCACTACTACTAAACTCCATTGTTAATTATTATACTCAGTGAAGGATATTTCAAATTTCAGATTTCAATTGGCTATCAGAATTCAGATATGCATGCCAATGGGACAATTCTTTTTTTTTTTTTTTGAGATTTCTGCCACAAGCCTTAGACAGATCAGAGATATCCATGAAAGTCAAGAGCAAGAAAAAAAATAAACTTAATACTGGGTGAAACAAAATTAGAAAAATGTACATTATCTTTAAAAGCCATGTTAACACTCTGAAAAAAGGCAAGAGTAAAAAGTAGTCTTTAAACAGATAACAGAAAAGTAGAATTATGATAATCCAAAATTTGCGAAATGAATATTGGGAAGAAAGTATGATTTTTTTCCTATATTATGGCAGGAAAATTTATTTTTAAAAAGTATGCATATGAATGATAGCTGCTATACTGATAAAAGGTTGGAGTACAATTACTTGAGATGAAAATATAGTTGAACTTTTTTAGATTCAATAACTGAGGTTTCCTCCTACCCACCTTAATTTTATGTAGTTCAAATACTTGAAATCCTTCAGTTTTCTATTTCATTCTTGAGGATAGATTAGTACCAAAAGCTATTTTATGCCACACAAAAAGGAGGCAACATTTTATCTTTAGTTCTGCCATGCTTCAAGTGATTAAGTATAAGAAGAGCATGAAATTCAATAATAAAATCAAAATTACACAGGATAGGAGAACAGAAAAATCACATTTCAAGGTACAAAATACTCCCTTTATAGATGTTATTGTACTTCTTTTGGCGTCTCAAATACTATAGTCCTTACCTTCAAGAAAAGAAAGCGCCATGAAATATGACTTTCATCAGCAGTCAGGACTATCTTATCTAATAAAAGAGTAATATGCAAATTGGCTATCACTCCAACACACAAGATGGCCAACCCCATGCGGTCAAAGATGGCCAGCAGGGGAGGACAGTTGTGGGGGACCCAGGCCTGCAGGGGAGGGCAGTTGAGGAAAACCAGGCCTGCTGGGGAGGGCAGATGGGGGGGACCAGGCCTGCAGGGGAAGGCAGTTAGGGGCGACCGGGCTGGCAGGGG